CTTCAGTCTTGAAGGGGGAGGGAGGGAATTTCCCTGCTGGCCCTTGGGGAGGACACTTCTAACTCCATCCCCCAGGGCCTTTGGGGGGTAGTGGCTGCTGACGAAGTCCATTTCCAGGAAGAGGCTGGGAAGGGAAGGGAAGGGCTGAGTCAGTCCCCATGAGGTGTTCACAGTGGAGACAGGCAGCTGAGTGGTTAGGTGGAGGGGGACATACTGAACCCATCTCAGGGCCAGAAAGAGGCTCCAGGCCAAGTGGCAGGAAGCTGAACACCCTACTCTGGGTATTTCTCCATCGTTCTGCTCTTCTAAATGTCTCTAGCTCCTGCCCCTCAGGGACCAGGGTGTCCAGAAGCCTCTCCACCAGAAACAGTGTAGACCCTGGCTGAGACATTAGACCCTGGGCATGGGATCCAAGATGGAGAAGAGAGGGGACTTGGCCTGTGTGTCTCTTGGGTCAGGAGTGTAGACCACTCTGTTCTCTGTGCCCAGGCTATCCTAGCCTTACTCCCCCATACACCCAGGCCCATACACACAGCAGAGAAGTTGTGCAAAAAAAGCCGTTTTAGGGCGGCGCCTGTGGCTGAAACTGGCCTCATATACCGGAGGTGGCAGGTTCAAACCCAGCCCTGGCCAAAATCTTCAAAAAACAAAACAAAAAAAGCCAATTTTAGTAAATGAAATTCTGTTTTATAAATACTTATTAATGGCAGGGCTCCCACAGTGATGCTGGGTGTGTCTACAAGGATCCTGTCCATTCAGCAGAATCTCCCCAGAGATCCCATGGGCCCCAGCCAAGTGACAACCACATCTGTGAATGGGGAAAACGAAGCATCCCTCCTGAGTGGCTGCAAAGCGAAGAGCTCAGATCACTCCTGAGATGTGAACATGGTTGGGGTCCCAAATTCTGGGTGACAGCTGGAATGGACCAGTATAGCAGGGGAGCCGTACTGGGAAGAACCTTGTCACATCCATGTGGGCTTCAAAGAATTCCCAGGGCCAGATGACAGTTCCAGTACTGGCTTGGAGCCAGCCTGGCAGCCAGGCTGAAAGAGAACAGGGGCTTGGCCAAGGCTTAAGAGAGACAAGAGAGCCTCTGCTTCTCCCTACTTCTCCTTCAAGGTTCCCCCAATCACCTACCCACCTCAGAACCTCTTTAAAGAGCTCTGGAGTTGACGGGCACAGTGGCTCACACCTGTAATCCCAGCACTTGGGAGGCTGAGGCCGGTGGATTGCCTGAGTTCACAGGTTGGAGATCAGGCTGAGCCAGAGCAAGACCTTGTCTCTAAAAATAGCCAGGCATTGTGGCAGGCACCTGTAGTCCCAGCTACTTGGGAGGCTGAGGCAAGAGAATTACTTGAGCCCAAGTGTTTGAGGTTTCTGTGAGCTTGATGCCACAGGACTCTACCAAGGGCGACAAAGTGAAACTGTCTCAAAAAAAAGGGGGGTGGCGCCTGTGGTAGGGTGCCGGCTCCATATGCCAGAGGTGGTGGGTTCAAATCCAGCCCCGGCCAAAAAAAATAAAATAAAATAAAATAAAATAAATAAAATTATTTTTTTTTTTAAAGTTCTGGCTCAGCACCTGTGGCTCAAGTGGCTAAGGCGCCAGCCACATACACCTAAGGTGGCGG